CAAGCAGCCTATCAAGGAATATCACGTGGTAACGAACTTTAATGACTCTGAGGAGCTGAGGGCAGCTTCTGGCCAACAGTCTTGAGGAAACTAAAGCATTCAGGTATGGCTACAAGGAAATCAATGCTACACACATAGTAGGTACTTCCTCAGTTCAGCTACCAGCTGGAAATCCTGTCCTTCCCAGTACTTTAACCGCGGCTTTGAGAAATCATGAGCAGACAAGATAAGCTGTGTCCAAACTCCTGATCCACAGAAACTTTGAGATCACAAATGTGTGTTGCTCTAAACCACTAAATGATTGGTGAACTGCCATGCAGCAAGAGAAAACTGCTATTATATATTTAAAAAAAGAAAACTACTATTATAGTATGTTGGGGTTTTAATCCATTATTTTGCAATTTGTTTTCTTTTTGTTCCATCTGTACTATTTCTCTTCTTCTGCATTCATTTGAACTGAAGATTTTTTAATGTCACTTCTGTTCTCTGTTACCTTACTAGGGCAAATTCTCTGTGGTTATCCTTTCAGTACTTCTCATGACTGTTAATTCTTTACTCAATGCGAGACATATGACTTGTAACGACTGTGTATATTTTTATTCCTAAAGGCATTTTAAAATTTTGTTCTGGAATACATTTAAGTTTCTTAGAAACAAATTAAATTATGTTTTAATACTTGCTCATCAACATTAGAATAGTGCTGTCTTGGAATCATCATCATGTACTACTGAGTACCAGTCTGTGAAATACACCCAACTCCCATTTCTTTTGTTATTGTTTTTTGTTTGTTTGCTTGCTTTTCTTTTCGATTGTTTCCAACTCCCATTTCAAAATTCATGAAGCTTTCTACTCGAGCCAGTGGAATACATTGCCTCTAACTCTTTAAACGTAGGTCAGTCTTCATCTAGTCTCTGGTGCAGTTTCCTCGCAGGCATGCACTGAGCAGTGCACAAATGCACACAAGTGGTCTCTGCATGTCTCTGGAGTTCTCTCAGTGCAATGATCCCTCTTCTAGAAGTCAGCCCTGTTGTCTCACCTCTTTAGGCACGCACCTCTATTTCTCCAACTTGAGCAGAACATAAGCTCAGCCTGTCTCCCCCACTCTCATAGTATACCACACAAGCTCTCAAAGCAATGAGATAGGCTAGCTGGAGGGCTCATTTCATTGGTTTCCCATCTCTTGGAGAGCACTGTAAATGCTTCAGACCTTGAAAACTCATGCACATTGTTGGTTGGTTATTTTAGGTATCAGGGTAATATGTTCATTCTACCTTGTCTAGCAGTATAATCCTTGAGATGTTTGTCCTGTGAAAAAAAATGGCAAATGAGTAGCTAATTTTAGAATTACTAGTAAATAACAGCTACTATGTTCTTATTGCTCTTTTGTTTTCAGTGAATGCGCTCACTGCAGTTAATGTACAATCCTCTTATTATACAATATGTTTGGGGGGTGTGTATGTGTGTGTGTGTGTGCGCGCACTAGGAGTACAAATCTTCACACTAAACGGAAACATTCTTAAGTACATCTCTATCTGCACGTGTTCTCAATGAGTCCCTCAAACCCAAGCCTAAGATTCTACTGGAATGAGTTTTTCTTAGGAAAATCTAAAAAATTAATTATGTGGGAAAAATGCATATTTTGTGGCCAAAAGTGAAACATCCTAGATTAAAGATAGTCATAAGTTATTTCACATTCTTCATCAAGAGGCAGGATTATTATCCCTGCTGAACACATACATGGGGTTCTAAGACAATGCTGACAAAACAAAATACAGCAAAAACGAAGTTGCACCAATATCCAACACCAGACCCTAAGCAACTGGCATATTCCATGTCTTATGTCTTAGAAATATCCTTTGGAATGGCTGCATTAGAGGAAGCTAAACTTACAAAGCAAGTCCACCTACCCTGAAATTGTCACACATGGAAAGCACCACACATGTGAGTGAAGGAGCACTTTGAATACTCCAGACCTAGCATATACCATATGAAGAACATATAACATACGAAGTCCTGCCATCTCTGGCTGTTGACCACTCCATCATGAAGCAGAGGCAAATCATCCAGAAGAGCACAAACAAAAATGTCTTACCTAAAATACCACGAGATATAAGAAAATGGTTACACCAACAAGCAACTAAGGTTTACAGTATTTGTTATGCAGCAAAAATAACTGGAACAGGGAAAACAGATCAGGAGTTTAGAATTGTCTGTCACAGAGGGATACAACAGAAAAGTCAACTTGGTTTTGCATATGAGTACTCAGTTCAGAGAAAATATCCACAGCGTGAATGTATTAGTAAATACAAATTCACAGGCAGATATTAGGGTATCTTCCTCATTCCAAGGTATTCATAATTTCTGGATCTTTCAATGCAGTTGGCTAATTTTGTTTACCATTCAATATTTGTCTTCTCCCTTTTTTTCTTTGAAAGTTCTACTTATTTTACTTAAAAGTCCAAATTACAGACATAGAGGGGAAGAAATAGAGAGACATTTCATTCCTTGGTTCAATTCCCCAAATGACCTCAACAGTCAGAACCAGTAGCTTCTTCCAGGACTCCCGTGTGCACGCAGGGACCCAAGGTCTTGGGTCACTTCTCCTCCCCACACTGATTTCTCAGACCATTCATTATCAAGGAGCTGGACCACATACGGCGCAGCCGGGACTTGAACTGACACCCACAAGGGATGTATAGCCTGCTACATCACCGTGCAGGCCTCTGTCTTTTCCTTTTTAATCTTCTCAAAAATAAGGACAATGTGTTCACTGTGATTTTCCCCAGAATTCAGAACAAGATATGACACATGAAAAACAAATACTTGCTGAAGAAACAAGTCAGCTTAAAAACTGTGTTTGAGAGTATTTTGACTATGAAATTACATTGGAGTGATTATAATGGAAACAAAGAAAGGTAAATTCTTGAAAATGGAGATTTCAAAACTGACAATTTGAGCAGATGAAAACAATAAAGGAGAATACAAGAATGCAGCTTGTAAAGGAGCTTTCTGAAAATAAGTTCTGTTGGACCCAGCGCAGTAGCCTAGTGGCTGAAATTTTCAACTTGAGTGCACCAGGATCCCATATGGACGCCAGTTCTAATCCCGGAGGCCCCACTTCCCATCCAGCTCCCTGCTTTGGCCTGGGAAAGCAGTCGAGGACGGCCCAAAGTCTTGGGACCCTGCACTCATGTTGGGGAGACTCACAAGAAGCTCCAGGCTCCTGGCTTCAGATCAGCTCAGCACTGGCCGTTGCAGCCTCTTGGGGAGTGAATTATTGGACAGAAGATCTTCCTCTGCCTCTCCTCCTCCCTGTATATCTGATTTTCCAATAAAAATAAATAAATCTTTAAAAAATAATAATAGGTTCTGCTGCCAAGTGAGAAATGGCTAGAGGGTAATATGAGCACAATCTGTTGCTATGTATTACAGAACACTTTTGTATGCTGAAAGAAATAATCTTAGAAGAGGAGAGGAAAAAAAACTAATAAATATAAAAAAGGGCAACAGTAACTAAGAAGGGACAGAATTCAGTACAGAGAGAAATGGCTCTTGACAAGAATAGTGAAACAATTTATCTTTTTAAAAAGATAAACATACAGATAAACATTTTTGAAGAGATAAACATATGGGCCTATGATCAAAATTCCCTTCTTTCCCTTCTTATCCCTTTGGTAAGGAATTATAGGAAGCAAGTTAGTTGAAAACAAAGAGGTAATGTAAAAAGTTAAGCTCTTTGGCACTCTACTCAAACATGCCTCACATTAGAAAATACTGTGTTGTGATTATTTTAATTCATGCGTCATTCTCTAAAACACTATAAAATAATTCAAGGAAAAGAAAGCACTTTTTATCTTAATGCTATGAGCACGTAATACGTTGCTCTATAGTGAAATGTTTAACTCAATGAGAGAACACGTGAATTTCATAAATTCCTTTCAGACTCCAAAGCAAAGTCAAAAGAGTTCGAAAGCATCAAGATATAAATGGTACTGTCAAGCATCTAGGTAAGATTTTCATCTGCAGTTTGTAAGTATTAAAAAAGTAAAAGTAGTTAACTTCAGTTTGTGAAGAAAATTATAAACAGGACAACACCAAGACATTGCTTTAGCATACTAAGGAATTAATGAGATGATGATATTAAATGTGTAGAATCTGAGCTTCACTATAATATGTGTGTTACACACTGATGTCATGTATTCAACATTTCATAGCAAAACTTTAAGGTTCAACTTCTAAAAGAATTATTTGAAAAGGAGTTACTATAACAGTTTCTTTGATTTAAAAATGCAAGAATAATTTCACACCACAACCATATTGGCGACTTCAGAGATTGTACCTGGAGAGCAAGTGTTGAGAGCAAATTACATTCTTTAGTTCAAGTACAAAACAAAAGCATATGCTTCTAGCATTAAAATATATTCTTTAAGAAATAAAACCCAAAAATAATGATTTGGTTATCAAATTAACCCTCATACAAGCTCCAAATGACTATAAACTATGCTATTTGGAGCATCTACTTTTAAAAGCACCAAATTTAAAGGTACTACGTAAAGATGTAAAAAAAAAAAAAAAAAACCGCCCAAAAATTTGATTAACATATTTTCATTATCATTTAATCAAAATACATATAGGACATTACTTTTTCCTTTAACAAATACAACAATAATAGCACTCAATGCTACTGGGAGAAAATTCAGAGCTTATCTGTAAAATTCTAAGAAAAGAAATTTCAATTATTACTGAATACAACAATCTTATTGTTAAAGATACAAAAGATGCCAGGAAATAGACAACTATTTTAAAACAGGCCCACGGTCTCTGGAACAAAGATTTGCTGTGCTTCCTAGGTATGCTTTCAGAAAAGTTCTATCTGTATATTAACTGAATGACTTAGAGTACCACAAAGTAGATACAAAACAGGAATTTGAGCAAGTCCTTAAATATATCTGCTGTTACTCCAGTCACTGAAATGAAGTCCATAAAAACACCTGAGGAAGAAAACAACACCATCCCACAAACCAGCTGTCAGCTACCCACAGCAGTCCGCTGCCATTTTTCTTAAGACCTGAGAGTCACTTGTTTAGCTAGATAAAAGAAATACAGTTGAATGAAACTGGAAGAAACTGGAACCAAAAGATACAGCCTAACATTTTTTACTTTTGGTGAAGTCATATGGTTTCCACCACTGAGCAAACTGCAGGGCTTTCTTCCTCTGGTCCTCAAAGTTTTCTCGGATTCCTTTCCTCCAAAGTCTTGGTTCTAAATCCAGCATTCCGCCAATGATTTCCTATTAGATGAGAAAAATACAAATTAATGTACGTAAAAATAATAATAAAAACTGCATGAAACTATTTGTTCTGTGATTAAAGAAAAGCCTCCAAAATAATGTTTAAATGTTAAATAAATATTAGGTTTAAGTTACAAAATATTGCCTTTAATTAGTTTTAATTATGCAAAATGCAAACTCTAATTATAGGAATCCAACCATATCTTCTGTTGAGCATGCAGGAGCAAAGAAAGGGATAAAGAGTAAAATCTAATTAAATTTGCCATATTACTATCACTCTTAGCACAAGGCTGGCTAACTCCAAAGGGAAACATGAAAGTCACAGTTAATGTTGTCAAGAAGTCACACTTCTGCCTCTTCTAAATATAACATGATATATTTATCAATACTTTACAGGCTTTCTCTCTGAAAACTGGAGGTGGCAATACTCACCAAACTCACTCTACCCTGTGCCCAAAGTCTTGAATTCCCTTTCAATGAAAAGTGTTAGCAAACTTCTAATCAGAGGAATCTTAGCATATTCGTGACTATACCTTTCCAAAGTAATGAGGGAATTTGTGTTGATCTTCAATGACATGGGCAAACCCTCCTTCAAGGCCAAAGTTCACAGAGAAGTACGGCAAGCCTCTGGGTACCTAAACAGGCAAATCACACACCAAACAACATGAAGCTCGAAGATCAAATTTAATCTCTGACATGACGGTAATTCAGCAGCGCACAAAGACAAATACAGAAAATTTTCTAATTTTACAGATACTGAAGCAATGAACTAAGTAGAAGACTTCATTTTGACAGCCTTTTAGGCAGACAGCTTTTCACTATTTCTAGCAATTATAATCAAGACCAATTATTTTCCTATCTTTGGGGAAATCAAACAGAAAAATGGTATCTTTTAAGACATACTCACAGAATCATTTTCCTTAGCTACACAAAGTATTATTTCTTTTTAAAGATTCTTATTTTATTTGCAAAGTCAGAGTTAGAGAGAGAGAAGGAGAGAGGGTTGAGGGGAAGGAGGGTAGGACAAAGAAAAAGACAGAGATCTTTCATCTCCCAATATGATGACAACAGCCAGAGCTGCACAGGTCAGAAGTCAGGAGTCAGGAACTTCTTCCAGGTCTCTCACATGGGTGCAGGGACCCAAAGACTTGGACCATCCTCTGCTGCTTTCCAAGGCCCAAATCAAGGAGCTGGATAGTGGAGCAGCCGGGATACGAACCAGTGGCCGTATGGGATGCTGGTGCTGGCAGGCTGAGGATTAGCCTTTACAACACACGCAATCACAGAGTAGCAAGAGGAGCCCCCATGCCCGCCAAAAAAAAAAAAAAAAAAGAGCCCAGTCATATATTTAGGAGTATGGTTTATAGTATCTTTGATCCTTTAGTATATTTGTTAAAAAGAAACCATAATCTTTATTAAATCACAAAGTAAGAATAGCAAAACTTATCAATCTCATTTCAAAATATCTCCAGAATTAATTCGGTTATTTTCCATTTATTTTCTCTTCCTGCCTCTCTCCCCCTACACAAAAAGTATTTTAACTTTTGATTGACAAAGGCTGCAATTTCTTCCTTTCTCTTTCAATTAAGTAGATTTTGTGTTCTATAAAATTTTTCCTCCAGCCTCTAACTTTGTCACCAGGAATTATCCTAGTGGATTAATTCATAGTAACGTTTCTCATCTCCACACCCCACACAGTCAGTATTTACTCATCTAACAATGAATCAAATCTCCCTAACTTGACAGTATGAATTCTGCATTGTGTCTTCAAGGAGACAACACCTGAAAGGGCTCAGGATAGTATGGTAGAGGATGGCCACTTTAAAGTACCACAGCATTTAAAATGAGTGTTTATAAAGAGCTGTTTGTATTGTAGGAAAAAAACATGAGAAACAATAGTACAAAATTCAGACACAGGCTATTTGTGACTTTGTGGCTTTATGCATTTTCATATTTTTAATATGATAATCATGTATGACCTTGACATTTAGAAAATAAGAGACAGACAAGGACCTAAAGGTAGCTGATGGTTCATTCTTTAAACAAAAACAAAAAAAAAAAAAAAGGAGGGGAGGATTAATTAATTTACTTATCTGAAACAGCTATAGAGAGACAGGAAGACAGAGATAAAGTTCTTCCATCCAGTGGATCACTCCCCAGATGACCACAATGGCTGCAACTGCGTCAGGCCACAGTCAGGAGCCAAGAGCTTTGTTTAGGTCCGCCACATGGGTGGCAGGAGTTCGAGCACTCAGACCATTCTCAGGCCATTAGCAGGGAATTGGATCAGAAGTCATCAACTGCAACCCATATCAGATGCCAGCACTACAGGCAAGCAGTTCTACCTGCTGCGCCACAATGCCAGTCCAGTTCTGATTCTTTAAGTTGTGATTCAATGCAACTTATTTAACATCTTGGATTATTAGGGAAAATATGAAAAGTTGAGAGGTTTTCTGTGAGGAATCAAATAGGACAATGTATGCAAAGTACTCTAATTGATTATTGCCACATAAAACTTTATTTGCAAGATGGGCTCAGCACAATGGCCTAATGGCTAAAGTCCTCACCTTGCATGTGCTGGGATCCCATATGGGAACCGGCTCTAATCCAAAAGGCCCTGCTTCCCATCCAGTTTTTTTTTTAAAAAAAAAAAACAGGCATTCAGTAACATTGATAGAATAAATCATTTTTAATAGAAAAACAAAAAGAATCTATACTTTTATTAAATATCTGCTCCAATTAATATGTTTTCATAAGCAAAAATCATCGCAGAAGTACTCAATTTATGCATATCTTCTTTCAAAAAGTTGACCTGCAATCAAGATTACACATAGGAATGATGAACTTATATTTGTTTTGTCAACAAAGAAAATTGTTCAGGAGCCAGTGCAGTGGCTCAACAGGCTAATCCTCCACCTGGCAGCATGAGCATCCCATATGGGCACCAGTTTGTGTCCTAACTTCTACACCTACAATCCAAGCCCCCTGTTAATGGGCCTGGGAAAGCAAGAGACGATGTTCTAAAGTGCTTGTGCCTCTGCATCCATTTGGGAGACCTGGAAGAAGCTACTGGCTTCGGATCGGCTCAGCTCCTGCCACTTTGGCCATCGGGGAAGTGAACTGGTAGATGAAAGATAATCTTTCTCTGTCTCTTCTTCTCTGTAAATCTGCTTTCAGTTACAAGTTACAAATCCTTTAAAAACAAAACAAAACAAGAGTTCCAGATTCCAGATGCAGGCTCTAGGACCCCTTCCATCATTATCATTCTAGTGAGGGGGAGGCTCCTCTCACCCCAGTGCCAGAGGAATAGAGAAGCTTACAAAAGTAGCCCTCACAGACCCGTGGTGGAGTCTAAAAGCTGCTATAGCCACTTAAAGGGACAATAATTATTTAAACAAATAAAAAAACCCTCTAAAGGCATTACACACATGAGGTAAGACGTGGAATTAGTTATCCACCTTCAGTCATACAGCCAAATTTTCTATTTCTCAAATTAATAAAAATACTGAACACCAGGGTAATATTTATTTTAAAGAAATTATACTTACAGACTTCCTGATATCTTTTGAAGAGAGATCAATCAACTTCTTATTCATGGACCATTCCTCATCAGATTCCATTATGGCTTTCTAAGAAACAGTCATCATTAAATAAAAAGTGAAACATTAGTAAATGCAGACAGTTGAAAAGAAAATAATACAATGAACTAAATACAGGAGATAGCGTGCAAGGTACACCTTTTTGAATGGATTAGGGCCTTGATTTTAGCTTATACACCTGAAATTTCTTGATTTTTTTTTTATTTCTTTGAAATTTCTTGATTTCTTTAAAAATTTTATTTACTTTTGTTTGAAAGGCGGGAAGAGAGAAAGAAAAGGAGAGGGTAAAAGATACACAGACATAGAGACAAAGTGAAATCTTCTACCCATTGATTTATCCTAAGAATGCTCACACAGGAGTAACCAGGAGCCAGGAGTTTAACTCAGGTCTCCAACGCAGGTGGTAAGCAACCAAACACTGGAAGCATCACCTGCTGCCTTCAGAAGAACTCATTACAAAGAAACTCATCAGAAGTAGAGCTGGAGGCTCAGCATCAGGAGCAAGCATCACGAGCCCACATGGGCACTGGTTTGTGGCCCAGCAGCTCCACTTCTCTTCCAGCTCCCTGCTTATATGCTAGGAAAGCAGCACAGCCCCAAAACTTGGGACCTTGCACCCCCACAGGAAACCTGGACGAAGCTCCTCCTGGTTCCTGGCTTTGGATCAACTAACTCTGCTGTTTTAGCCATTTGGGGAGTGAATAAGAGGACAGACAATCTGTCTTTTTTTCTCTGTAAATCTGTTTTTCCAATAAAAATGAATACATCTTTAAAAGAAGAAGAAGAAGAAACAGAGCTGGAACTGCAACTTAGGTCTTCCAACGGTGGATAAAGGTGCTTGAGGAGAACCATTTACAGTACTTCACCAAACACCTACCCTTGGATTTTTCAAATTCCCATCTTAAGTCAAATACAATATTTTTTTATTCATATTTAACTCATCTACTAATTTCAGCTCAAATTTACATGACAAAAAACCCTTAATAACACTAGGCAAATTTTACTGAAGATAATTTGAGAACATAAACCTTACAAATCTCTTACTGTATCCATAGAAATCTAGTCCAACATATTCATCTAATTTTGTTGCTCTTTTCCAAAAATATCAAGAGGAATTTATATGCTTTCTGGAACCAAGGACTTGAACTATTTTTTGTCCTTTTAACAAGCAAAAACATAGCAAGAAATTGCTTTAAAAAATATAAATTCTATTCTTTTAAAAAGACCGGAAGAAAAATACATTGAAATAGAATTCTAAACTAAGCAATTTTAGTGTGATGTCTTTACAGTAAGGAAATCTTAATACAAGGAAAATCTAAGGTGATAAATATTAAATTATCTCAATTTGTACACTTTAGTTATCAAATGAAACACATTTTAAAGACAGATATTCAGTGATTATAATTTAAGTAAATCATACATATTGCCACATCCCTTATTTAAAGTTATGGATTGTCTGGTTTCACACTGTAACATAACACATTTACTACAAAATTCAGGCCAAGTGAAATGACAAATAAAATATATCTTTAATGATCAAATTAAAAGTTTGCTGCAAAAAGGTAGCATGCTATTATGCTAAATATGACATTTCTGCCACTTGCAATGAACAACAATGACCTGTCAATATTGGACCTATAGCCACCATCATCTAAAACTCTACTAAGGAACTATAAAGAACATATCAAAAAGTGCGTAATAATTTCTTTCCCAACCAAATTAGGTTAATATTAGTATGAGTCTTCAGGACTATGTTGTCTTAGTCTCCACATTTCAATAGTGCGCTGCATCAAATCAAATATTCAGATTGCTCCTAAAGATTTCTAAAGAAGAAAGTATTTCACCAACTTGTTAATTGCAGATCTTTAGAGCCCTATTTACTCAAATTTATGCTCAGATTAGTAAATTCACCATCTGTTTCAAAATGCAATCTTCCTATACAAACTCACAAAACATTACTTCCTTTTTCTTTAGTCAAGTGAAAATTTCATGGTTCTATATTCACATATTTATATTCATTTATAAATCATATTATATTCAATCAGTAACAAACAAATATTATTTAACAAAAGCTACCTTAATACTGTGGTGAAAGTTAATGGTCACAAACCTTAGTCACTTATTACATGTCCAAAAAATGTACATTATAATTGGAAACTTTTCTTTTTATAAGTAATATGATTAGATATTAAGTACTAAAATTTATACCAACAACTCGCCTTAGCAATTGCAATACTGTTTGCATGTTTTCATCTCTGGCTAATTTCAATGATTAATTATTCAGAACTATTAACTACAATTTTTCATTTGAAAAAAAACTCATTTTAAAACTGATTTCACTGAGGAAATCAGAAAGTACAACAGAAATTCTAACTTATCATTCAACAGAATATTCAAGTATGCTCCACGAAGGTCAAAATTCCAATTTTTATCAACATAAATTTATACTGTAGTTAATATTTTTTCATCTCTTTGTATGATTTAAAATATAATACAGATATAAAGGAAAAGCAAATGAACAAAGATAACTGTATTCATAAAAAAACTTTGTAGCAAAAAATAAGAAGGGCTCTAAATACTATCAATAAATACCTTAAAATAGATGGGAGCCATATCACCCACTTCCTTAGGCAGAGGAATACATTCATATACCATGTGATACTGCTTCTTCAGGCTCATATTAGTTTCTAAGAAGATGCAGTCCAATCCTTTATCTTCAAACATCTTTACCAAGGATTTCCTGAACATCTAAAGGAAGAAAACCTACGTAAATAAAACACTTCCAGAAAATTCAAAAGATTCCACAAAGTTCAAAACACGAAAACAATAAAAATATAATACATCTCTACAAGAAAATTCATGTCTGAACTCTACGATGTTTTAATTACTTCATTTTCTAAATACACCACATAATTTCACAAACATAAGCAACTTTTTAAAAACTGAAACCAACTCTACATAAATATTAGAAACAGTTAACCAGCAGATTATGAGAAAAAAGACAAAATCAAATTTTCATGATGTGACATGCAGACTTGATAGGAAAACACCCACACAAGCAGCTTCTCTTTGCTTGTGGCATCTGCATGCTGAGGCAGCCCTGCATTCATGCACAATGGAGTCCTATCAAGTGTCTCCAAGTCACTAAAGCTGAAAATTAATCTGGGTTTCTTTTCCCAAAGAATGTTGAGTATTAAATCCCTTGTGGGTAAATGATGCACAGATGATTTCACTCTCATAGGCCTGAAGAACTGGTGTCTACAGTGCGAAGCTGAGCACAACTCAGGGGTCCAGAATCTCTACACCCATGAAAATGTCAGCGTCATAGCAGAGGATGGAGGCATGGGATGAAGGGACAGGAGCAGGCTGAGGACTGAACATCAGGGGTTACCTCTTACACCACCAGTCACTAGATTCTAGTGTCTAGCAATTCCCAATTCAAAGTTGGTATTATAGAGTGTTCTGCAAGAATATTTTTCTAAAACTAAAAACTTTTATTTAGATTTAATTTACAACTTACCAGTATTTTAAACTTTTTTATATTAAGGTCATTATTTTAAACAATTTATTTTTAGTAGCAACTTTATTTTGGGAAAAGTATTTCAACAAATATAAAAATTGGACATGTTTGAATACCATATGCTGTGTGGATACACATTAATATAAATATGTCCTGAGACATTTAATATTTCTTCACGGAAAAATACATCCAAAACGCTTTTAGTGGGTTTTTTTTTCAGCCTAATATTTTTTTTTTTTTGAGATAACATTCGCTGAATTTACATTACAGCGAAAGCCTTACTGGCTTGCTAAATAAAGAGTTTAAAAAATAAAAAGGCGTAGTCTAGAAAGAAAATAGGTAAGGCTATAAACAATAATCACTGCCAATGCTCAGAGACTGTGCTGTTCTGTAACTTCTTTACTGAAAGTTTTCTTCAACCACTGCCATGGAATCAGCTTATGGATGAAACTTCTTTCTGTTTCTCCTCCCCTCACTCTCTCCAGCTGTTCCTCCCTCTCCTTTGTCTGTCATTATCATTAAAATGCAATTTCAAAGAAATGACCCGATTTACCAATTATTCAATTTTCCCCAATTAAGACATCTTGTACAACTTCAGCACATTGCAATGAAGATGCAGGCATTGATACAGTCAAGAAAGATAAAGAACAATTCTAACATCAATTGTAAGGATATTCTTTATTCTGTTTTTTTTTATTCCTTTTGGCTTTATTTTTGTTTTATTTTTTGTCTTGTTTTTGTTGTTTTAAGGTTTTTTTTTAAAGATTTATTTATTTTTATTGGAAAAGCAGATTTACAGAGAAAAGGAGAGACAGAGAGAAAGATCTTCCATCCACTGGTTCACTCCCCAAATGGCTGCAATGACCAGAACTGAGCTGATACGAGGCCAGGACCCAGGAACTTCTTCCAGGTCTCCCACATGGGTGCAGGTCTCAAATGTATGGTCATCGTCCACTGCTTTCCCAGCCCACAAGTTGGCAGCTCCATGGGAAATGCAGCAGCCGGAACATGAATCTGCCCACACATGATCTCAACATTTGCAGGGGGATGATTAGCCAATTCAGCCATCAAGCCTGATCCTTATTTATTTATTTATTTGAAAGGCTGAGTTGGAGACAGAGATTTTCCATTCACTGGTTCATTTCCCAGGTAATGGCAACAGTCAGATGTGGGTCTTCATCTGGGTTTCCCACAATGAAAGGGTGTGCATTAGAGAAGGGACCTAGATGGGCAGTGGAGCACTCAGATTGGAAACTGACACCCACATTAGGATGCTGGTGTCACAGGCAGCAGCTTAACTTACCACACAACACCAGCCCCCAGAATTCTTCTTCTCCCTTCTTACAGTCATATAACTGGGAGGGAATTCACTAATTTCCCTGCCACTCCTCAAACTGTGGTAACTACTCATGTGCTCCATAGCTTTTTCATTTCAAAAAAAATTATGTAAATGAAAACATGTCATCTTTCTAGGTAGGCCATTTTCATTCAATATAATTCCCTAGAGATATAATTAAGATGTTAAAATATTACAATAGTTCTTTGCTTTTTACTGTTATATAGCAGTAATGGTAAGGATATACAAAAGTATTTTTAATTGTCCACACCTAAAAATATCTGGGGTATTTAGTTTTTGGCTATTACTAATAGGGCTGCTATATACAGCTATAAACAGGTTTCTCTTTCTTTTTTTTTTTTTTTTTTATTAGCTACATTGCATTGTATGACACAGTTTCATAGGCTCTAGGATTCCCCTATTCCCTCCCCATACCTTCCCTCGTCCCATGGTGGATTCCTCCACATTGTTGCAGTAGTACAGTTCAAATCCAGTTAAGATTCTTTCATTGCAATCATGTACCATGCATAGAGTCCAGCATCTTATTATGCAGATAAATTCAATTGTTTCTTGGGGAGACCATCTCTGGTCTGAAAGCAGAGTTGACAGAATATGATCCCAACCAATTAAAAGCCACAACATAACATCAACAACAATTTACATCATTATGGAGTTAACTGACATGGTGACCAATATGTTAGAAAATACAAGTTCTTAACCACACGCTGAAACTACTTCATTGACATTTCAATTTTGGTTTATACACAGAACCAGCTGCTATACACCTTAAAATGGCTCTAGGGTACTATCCAGCTGTCTCATGTCTATTTTCATTTTAGTATTAAGCAGTTTATAGTGTTGAAGCATAATTCTTACTGACTTTGGCAGATTTTAGGGTAGTCTAAACTGGCTTATAACTCTAACAAAGCATATGTCATTGCAAGAGAGGGTGGGAATCCAAAGTTTGAACTAAGTAAGGACCAGAGAAAGCTTCCCTCCCGAGTCCCAAAGGGGGTTTACTGTTCTGTTTCTGAGGTCTGCTCAGGGCTCCCAGCTAGTGTTCTGATGACATTAGATCCTGTGAGGAAGGATCTGGGCTTCTTCCATCCCATGTGGGAGATCCGAGAGGGAACGGTTGACCTCAGAGTTCTTGGCCTATGAGGGCAGTCCAATTCCCTGTAGTCTCCTTGGCAGTTAGTATATAGTCCTTGGTGTCCATACTGATAATTCTTGGTGAGGATCCGGGAGTCTCCAGAGTTGGGATACAAGCCTCTTCCTGTCCTCCTGCTCCACTCTGGGGTCACCCCACCCCCAGCTCCTATAAACAGGTTTTTCCACATTATCTTTCGATTTCTTTAAAATAAATGCACAAAATATAATAGCTGAATATTACGGTGACTCCACATTTCATATTTTAAGAAATTTCCAAAGTGGCAGCACCATTATCTTTCCACATAAAAGTGGTAATAATTCAATTTCTCTTCTTCCCTGCTACTATTGAGTGTTGCCAACATTTCTTACTTTACATTCTTTTAGGGATGCAATCATTCATTGTTAGTTGTCTTAATTCGCATTTCCTTACAGCAAATTACATTGAATTTTTTACGTACTTATGTGCTATCCTACAAATCCTATGTAGTAAGATGTCTCTTCATTTTTTAATTTTCTGACTGCATCGTTCCATTTTTACTTGATTCTAACATTCTAATTTTTTGCAATATATTCTAGGTAGAGTCCTTTGTCATGTATGCAATTTGCAAGTACATTCGATCTTTGTCTTTTCATCTTCTAACCAATTGTTTGTTTAGGAATCTGGGTCTTTTTTTTTTTAACACGTATGCCATTGAATTCATAAGAATTGAATGCTTGAATGATTTCCCATGGGTTCCGACAAAGTGGGTTTCCCTGAGTGAAGCAGACTTGGAGAGCTTCAGCTGCAACTAGAAACCTTTTCTTTGGCTTCTTTCTTTTTCTGGTAATTTCCTTCACCTGTTTCAGGAAGCTTTCTTGCTCTTACAGTGTTTAATATACTCACTATGCATATTTATTCTCCTTGTAAGAATCGTGCCCTTGAATTGTGTGGATACAATAATGCCAGCAGCATGCTAGGTAACACTGTAGACTCTTCAGGTTTTGCCATGGTTATTTATGAGGCATTCTTTTACGAGTCGTACCCATGCCCTTGATGTCTACAATGCCACCCTTCTTGTAAGTGCACATGTATGGAGCCAAAGGAACCGCTCTATGTTTCCTAAAACGTATGGAGAACATGTAACAGGTGTTGCTCCATTTTCCCTCTGTGCTCCTCAACTTGATGAATGACTTGAAAATGGCGGCTCCAATTGAAAGCCTTACCAATGACTTTCACAGATGAAAGATTTGATTTGAAGAAGTTCATTTTATCAACATTCGATTCTGTGGATTGCATGGTTGATGTTAAGAACTTGCATACATTGGTTCTTAAAAATTTGTTTTTTCCTAAGTTACACAGTTTTACGATTCACATTTAATCTAATTCTATTTAGAGTTAATAATTGTATCAAGGCACTAGATTTAATTTCTGTGCCAATGGATGTCCGATTGCTCCAAAGCCATCTGTTACTTTTAAACAAATTGTAACTTTGTCAAGTTTCAATAGGAATATTTAGTTGGGCTTAAATTTTAAATGATCATTTCGGATTAATTAAGCTATGTCTATCATTCTACAATTACCATTTAATAGTGTAGCTATATAAATCTTAAAACCAGATAAGTCTGAATGCTTTCACTTTACAAATATTCATTTTCCTTAAACCATTTACTATTTGAGAGGCAGAGTTACAGAAAGGGAAATCAGAAAGAAACAGAAAGATGATCCATTTGTTGGTCACTCTGAAATGGCTCAATGAACAGAGCCAGGCCAAGCTAAAACCAGGAGCCAGCAACAACATCCAATAGCCCAACATGGGTGCAAAAGCTTTTGTACTTCAATATAATAAGATATAGCAAAATTATTTTACAATTGTGAGCAATACCAAGAGCCTATGTTATGGAAATTAGATAAGGTTGCTAAATTACTAGAAGAAAATACTTCATTCTGAGTACTTAATTTACCTAGTTTCCCATTCCTTGTTCAATCAATGCATCTGTAGTAAACTTCCCTATGATGTATTTAAGTAAACTAACTGGAGAATGTTGCAGTTCTCTCTATCTTGATCGCCCACTTGCTCACTGTAACTCTGGGTTTTCAGATAAATAAAATATATTTTTAAAAATAAATAAAAACAGGGCCCAGCACAATGGCCTGCTGGCTGAAGTCCCCGCCTTGCATCCGCTAGGATCACATAAGGATGCCGGTTCCAATACCAACAATCCATTTCATATCCAGCTTCCTGCTGTGGCCTGGGAAAGCAGTGGAGGACAGCCCGAGGGACTTGGGGCCCTGTATCAGCATGGGGGCGGGGGGTGCCTGGAGAAGGTCCCTGGTTCATGGCTTTGGATTACCTAGGCTCCAATCGTTGTGGCCACTTGGGGAGTCAGCCAGTGGACAGAGGATATTTCTCTCTGTATCTCCTTCTCTCTGTAAAATCTGACTTTACAATGAAAATAAATAAATCTTTAAAAAAAAACTAAATCAATGCATAAAAGCAAACAACAACAACAAAAAGACCCTGGATTTCTTTAAATAAGCCAGGATTCAGCTATTTAAATTCATTTACTAAAATTTTGTGGTAATTTACAACGATTAAAGACTCCTTTTATTCACAAAAAGAATCAGGATGTCACTCATCAAATTATATAAATAACTGGCTTTTTTTCTCCTTAATTCACTTTTTCACAATGAATCTAGACCAAAAAATCTACTAACTTACAATGTAACCTGTACTACAATACACCATTTGGGAAGAATTAGTGAATGATTTTATCCCTTTGTTTCTCACGGCAGCAAAAACATGTTTACATACCAAGTCGGTATCTGTTGAACACAGTAAATGGTTTTTATTTACTTAATATGTTTGTGTGTACACACACATAAGTAGGTTAATTTCTTCCACAAATATAAATCCAAATTACTGTAATGACTTAAAATATCTTTGGTGCTGTGTATTCTCTAAGTTAAATCAGTTTTGTAAGCACAAATTTTTAAAACCCTCTCAGGAAAGTTCTAAAATGGTTGTAAAAACCAAATTTTGATGCCCTCCACCTTAAATTACTTAAAGTTACTGACATTTAATATTAGAAAAAAAAATTATTTTTGACTTAACTCATGTTTCTACAATGCTATCCTTACTGTAACAAAACAATCTTTTTAACTTTTACAAAATGAACTAAAAATAAAAGAAGACTTGTTTCATCAAACACAGCCAAAATATCTCCTTTTTTGGCATGTTTAACAACATGCAACCACTCTCACTCTCTTCTGACTAGGGTTCCTTGCAACTCTACTCGCTTGTCAGACATTAGAACCACAACTTCTCTTTCTTCCTTTCATTTTGGTCATTACGGGGCCTTGAAATAATTCAAGCAACAATTTCATCCATGTTGTGCCTTTCAATCTCTTGAAGAATCAGCCACAAGAGTGAATCCCTAAATACAAAAGCTAGAAAAGGTTATGAAGAAAACAAAGAGCAAGAACTAAAAGTTAGTAGCAAAACCACCACAAAATCACAGCAGTGGAGAAGACAACTTCCATTACAGTAAAACATGGCAACTGCTGAGAATACTAGCATTTAACTGACAAAATTCCTTTTTATTATCTAAATTCCTTTGCCTTTTTGGCTGGGTTTTATTGGCTTATTCTGGTAAGAATAACTATTTCATGTAACACAATGCCAAGATCAGAAATCTTAGACTGATACTACTTTGTTGCAAAAATAATCCATACGTTGTTACAGTTTAGTACATAAAACCTTTCAAAATGTGGAGCACTTTTGGAAAATAAAAGATAGTTGAGTACTAAAAACACAATGTGCAGATACATATAACTACAAAAATACAAGTGTTTTAGTAAAGAACCTAAAATCACTGAACAAAGATAAACACCTTGCTGAAATTTATCACAACAGTTTGCAAAAATTTCTCCTGGGCTTTACAATGACAATGACAATTTATATGCTCACCTGAATTTCCTCCCAGATGTCTTCGTCCAATAAAGTGGCTGCTCTATGGTGCTGCAAGGGAACTATCAGGCAGTGCCCCTCAGTAAGAGACTGAAAGTTGGGTAGACATAAATAAACCTATGGGGGAAAAAATTCCAAAGGCAAAATGCTATTGAAATTTACTCAGTTACAGTTAATATTTAACACAGTATACTTGCTTAGAAGAAAACTTTCATTCTAACATTTTTAAGGCTATTTAATTTTTTAAAAATATTTTAAAAGCCATAGAGATGATTTTTTTTTTAAGATTTATTTATTTTTATTGGAAAAGCAGAATTACGGAGAGAGAGAAGTAGACGGGGACAAAGATCTTCCATCCACTGGTTCACTCCCAAGTGGCCGCAACTGGGCCGATCCGAAGCCAGGAGCCTGGAGCCTCCTCCTGGCCTTCCACACAGGTGCAGGGTCCCAAGGCTTCGGGCCTTCCTCCACTGCTTCCTAAAGCCACAGGTAGGAAGGTAAAAGCAGGAAGCATGAACCAGCACCCATACAGGACCTTGATGCAGTCAAGGCAAGGACTTTAGCCACTAGGCTAATGCTCCAGGCGCTGGAATGGTTTTTAATAAACTTGAAATTCACAGCACCAGTTCAATTTTCACTGCTTTTTATCCATAAAGATTAAGATTATCCAAGCAAAGAAAGAATAAAGCATATTACATCCTGAATCTGATGATCTATTTCTTTGAAAGCCATTAAAACCGCACAATTTTCATAAGAATAAGAAGATATTATGGCCTGGTAATGGCAGAGTAATTTAACTGGTAAACTATTAATCAGGCTTTCTTCCTCAGTAGCCAAGAAACAGAACCTAGCCAAGAGGAAATGACCTCAAGAGTACATTATTGCTACAGTTAAGCTCTGTTTTTTAACACAGATATATGACTTTAAAGCTGGTGCTATTTTTCTTCTTTCCAAACAGTACAGTGTGTGGATTGTGTGTGTGTGTCAGGAGAGCGGGCAGAGCTGGAAAAAGTAACTTTACAATGGAGCAATCTGTAAAGAACTAGTTCAGCCAGGTGATTAAGGTCAACATCATAAATGATACATCATATTCACAGCATATACCACTGACAGGTTGTCATAAAAACAGCATTTCCTCTGTGCTTTTCCTTCCAAAAATCAAAAATGAGTCATGTCACAAGGAAAATGTCAAATAAACTCTAGTAGGGAGCACCTGGTCAGTACTTAAAACTGCCAAGGTGTGGCATGTGCCCAGTGGTTATTAAGGTGTCAACTAAGATGCCCCTATTTTCTACTGAAGCACATACATTCAATCCTCAGCTCCAGGTCCAGGCAGTGGCTTCCCACTAACTCTGATGGGAGAGAGTGGAGCTCCCGCCACCCACGTGGGGCGTCTGAATTGAGCTCCAGCCTCAGCCTCAACCACTGAGCATTTGAAAAGTGAACCACTCGATGGAAGCTCTGTCTCTTACTTTCTCTGAAACAAAAACAAGTTTTTAATCAAACAACTCAAAGTTATCAAAGAACAAGGGAAGCCCGAGAAACTATCTCTCAGCCAAGAGCAGCCTAAACAAACGTGACTACTGACTGTCAGGTGGCATCCTACATGCAGTCACCAGAGATGGAGGACGCCAGGTCAACAGAAGGAAAAGCTCGCTCACTCACTGTGTGTGTGTAATACCTTTCAGTAAAAACAAATCTGCTTTTGAAAGAAACAAGAGCAATATCTAAGAAATCCTTTATCCTATAATTAACTAATGGAATAACTAAAAAGAACAATTTTTTTGTATTTATTCAGGACAAAAAGACTTACTAGCTATAATGGATAACACAGGAATCAGATATGGAAAGAAGCTGATGTTCTTTCTATTGCACACTTCAAGTATCTTTGTATTGGAACATCCGCACACGTCAGGCTGACAGTACATGTCAGTCATCAAACAGAGAAAAATTTAAAAATAGGTGAAGAGAAACTCAAATGAGTTAATGTCTTCAGAATGAAAATGTCTAGTCCATGACACGTGAAAGCAGAAACAGCTAACTCAATAAACCAAAATTAAATAAAAATTTAGTAACATTAGAAATGGTTAAATGGAAAATGTGAGTTATCTCAAAGCTGGACAGAATATTAAGAAAAATGGGATATAAATATCCAGTAAGTGAAAGTTAAAAAGGTAAAGAAGCTGAAATGTCTGTTTACTGGCCGCTGATTTCTCTCGGCTAGTGGTTTGAGAAAACTTTATTGTGGGGAAGAAGCTAGAATGTAGAAAATTTTACATTTACCTTTTACATAAACTATGAAGTAAAAAATGAAATAAAAAACTATTTTAATAAAGCAAAAGAAACTAAATTGATAAAATGACTATCTAAAGATAATAACATTAGGTGTGTGTGTGTGTTTAAGTGTTCAAAAACAAAACATCAGTCAATACGCATTGCATATTCCCTAAGCCATTAGCTGCTGAAACTGGAATTCACTATTTAATCTCTTCTATTATTACTTTTTCTCACTTCACTCCTGCCATCTTTCTCTATTCCATGAATGTCAATCATTTCCTCTTCAGGGATTTTTACACAATGATGCCCTTTCATAAAACATTACTCATTTACAATTTCACATTATTTGTTCCCTCCCGTCATATATAATTTACTAAAATATCTCAGATCACTTTATCAAAAATACTCCCTCATCATTTTGTCTCATTTCCTCACTTTATTTGTATTAAGGAATTAATATTTCTATGTCAGAAAGATTATTACTCTGTATTCTAGAAAAGCAGAGTAGAAAACACATTCCAAAAGCCTTTCTGATTTTCTGCTTTCCTCCAGCAATTAGTTAAAGGTTGGTATACATCACGCACACAGAAATTACCTGCTTAATGTAAGTATTAGGTCAATATACATTTACTGAAATAAATGAGCACTGTTTGTCATGAAAAAAAGCTAGATGTTTGGTATATGATGGTAAGCAAAAGTTATTTTTTTCTTCATACAGCTCAAAGAGTATTAGAAGATAATCCCAACAAAATAAAGACATATAATAAGTTTGTTCAAACTGTGAGGTAGTCTTCAAACTAACAGGTTCTATGAGAAAGTAAAGAGGCATGAGCTGATTTAGAATGTCTTGGATAATTTTAATGCTGAGACTCAAGTGTCAGTCATACAAAGATAAGGTCACACTGCTGGTAATTGGCCCAGTCAAAGCTGGAAACCAGAAAATCTGGCCACCATTATCCAATGTCTGTTCTAGAGCAGAATCACAGAAGATGGGAGCCTTATGACAATGAAATGTGTATGCTCACCTCAAAGATGAAAGAAAACATCTAAAACAAAGATTCCTTAGGTTTCTTTAAACAGAATGAAAAATGAAGCAAATTTACACACACTGATAAATCACTTCCTTAGGTCACAAAACGTAATATTGATTACCTTAACACCTATTGCAACAATGAGGTGCTTAGGAAACTGAGAGCTGTCAAAACAGTAGAGGCATTTTTCCATTTGTGCCGCGAGACTCTGATGCTCGGCAATAGCTCTTCTCCTCTGATACTCTTCCTCGTCACCAAGTCGCTCTCTCTCGGCTGCTCTGGATACAAACATGTCATCCAAAGTATAATAGTCTCCATCTGTTTTTCCCATAAACTGAAAAATCAAAATAAATGGGGATAGAAGACTGTGGTTAAGATTTTACTGTACTGCACCATCTTATCTGTCTTTGGTAAATTCTATGACAAAATATATTAAAAAACAAAACATCAATTAAAATTCGAGGCAGACCTTCAAAATTAAATTTATCACCATTATCACAGCTAAGGCTTACTAAATAGCTGCTATCTGTAATTTTATATAATTTGATCGTGTGTTAAGATTCCTAAAAGACAAGAACCATCATTTTCACTTACTGGACTAGGAAAGTAAACCAGAGAGAGTAAGTAAACTATTTTCACAATAAAACTTAGCACACTCACAATGTAAAATATGCAACATTTTCTACCATATTTCTAAGCCTACTCTCTATTCTTCTTTAAAAAGTATTTTACTCTGTGAACATATTCCCCAACACAGTTCTAAGAGCATAGCGATTCCTCTACCCCTCCTCCTTCCCACGTCTCCCTCTCACACTCCTCATTTATTTTATTTTTTTTAATTGTTACAGTGTTATACTTTCAGTTCATTTCTCAATCACAGGCCCAACACTCCATCAGGTACAGAATTCAACAACTAGACCTCACCAGGGGTCGGGAAGGTCCAGTGGAGCCAGGGCCACCTGGCCTGGGTCCTTTGGCCCACTTGAGCAGTAGGTGCCAGGTCCATGAGCCCCAGGATTAGGAGTCTGGCGGCACCTGGGTCGGCAAGCTCAGGGTGCCAATGGCACCGGGCAAAGCCCATTGGCCACCTAGAAATGCACTTTGTGGCAGGGCTTGGCATGTGGGTTTGCATGGATCTGGGAAATGACATAAGTGGGGGCATGTGAGGACATGAGGTCTTGCATATAGGACTGGTGGTCTGCCCGTAGAGTGCATTGTTCAGAACTGGGCTTCCTTGGTGGAAAGACAGAGCAGTGAGGAAGGCCCAGATGCATATGGAGGATATGGCAACACATTGGGGCCTGCAAAGGACATGTGGTACCACAGCAGAGAAAGCAGGGCAGAACAAATCAGACAACTACCCCAACCAAGCACTGACAGCAAATATCTGGGTGAATGGAGACTTTTAAGATAGACTGTCAGCCAATGTCCATTGGAAGGATTTTCTTATCCTTAGAGAAGCAAGACTGACAGCATTTCAAAATTATCCAAACCAGTTAAGCAAAGCAATTGGAGCATGCTCCTCATCGGGGACCCTGGGTTTATATCTGTGTGGCCATTCCCCATCCCTGGGTACTGGGGTGGTTGCGAGGCTGGGTGTGGCTCCTCCCCTTATCACCCCCTTTCTCCCAGAAACAGGAAGAAAAAATTTGGAAACAATGGTCTCACCCAATTTCCCCAAACCCTCAATCTTTCCTACTCTGATCACCTATGTAAACATGATCAAAAATCAAAATCAAAATCAAAATCAAAACAAAACAAAAAAACTACTGTTTCTCAAGAGTAAAGATAAATGTTTTAAACCATAATCAATTTTCAAAATGGCCTACTTTCCAGTCTCCATACCTCCCCAAACATAAGCTGTAGAAGATCCATACTTTTAAACCCAAATTGTATTTAGATACTTATGTTCTTACTTAAAATCCCACCGAAGAGTTGTACATTGCATATAGGACCAAATTCAAAATCAAAGACACAGAAAAGCAAGATGGTTAAAATACTTAGGATCTACAGTCCAAAATTACCATAGTAAAATTTTACCTTCTATCCATTTAATCTAGACCACATTATTTCACCTCTTTGTCCTCTCCCCAGACCTTGCTATTCATGTTGCAATGATCAGATAGACACTATCTCCCTACTGGAGTTACATCACTTAATTCTCACCAGCTGCCTGGAACATATTACCAAGCAACTTGCTCTAAATGACACTGGCAGAAATGCCATTCTACAACAGCTACTGGACATTCTTCTCAAGCGTACACGAAACATTTATCAAGATGGGTAACTTTCTGCATCATTAGTCTCTGTGAACTTAAAAAAACCTATTGTCACACAAAGTATGTTCTGTAAACATGGACTGAATTGATAATCATCAATTAAGATTTTGAGACATTTCTAAGTATCTGGAAGCTAAACAAGGTACTTTTAAATAACACATGGACCATCATCATCAACAACAATAAGATAATTGGGGCCTATTTTGAAGAGACATAAAACAGAAATACAATATTTCAGAATTTGTGGTATACTGCTAAAGTAGAACTTTGAAGGAAAATTATAGCAATAAGCACTTACATCACAAAATAAGAAAAATCTCAAATCAGTGAGGTCAGCTTCCATTATAAGAACTTAGAAGGGATAAAGGGGACTAGCATTGAGGCAGGGTTAAGCTGTAGCTTGCAACAACAAAATTCTATTTAGGTCCTAATTCAAGTTCCAGCTGTTCCACTTCTGATCCTGCTGCCTGTTAACATCCCTGGGAAAGCAGTAAACAGGCCCAAGTATATGTCCCCTAGCAATCACATAGGAGATGCAGATAAAGCTCCTAGTTTCTGGCTTCAGCCTGGGCCCAGCCCTTTCCGGTGTGGCCATTTGGGGAGTGAACTACCAGATGAACGAAGTCTCTCCCTGACTCACTCTCTCTGTAACTCATTTTTTTAAGTAAGAAAGAAAAAAAAAAAAAACTGTGACAAGGATACTTATGAGATGAATATAGGGAGTATGGGGTTTCTGGTACATGGAAACACTTTATATTACTACTTCATAATCTTTGTTTTACAGATTTCAAAGTATTCTAAAATAAAATAATTTTTTAAAAGTTAAAGAAAAAAATCTCTAAAACATTATTGCTGATAAGCTTAAGTAAATAGATTTATAATTAATGACACCTTTTGGGATACATTCACCATTCGTTATTAACAAAGCACAAATCAAAACCATGACTTTACCACTTCACACTCATTAATACGGCTATAATTACATATACGGCACGTATTGTAAAGGACTTGGTAAAACTGCAGCCCTCATACACTGTGTGGGAATATAAAATGGTATAATTCTTTGGAAAACAGTTTGGTAGTTCTTAAAATATTTAAACATAGATTAACTAATATTTAAATATATGGGTTATTATATGGCCCACAAGTTGCATATTCATAAGAAAATGTTGTATATGAATCTATAGCAATTATATAAAAATTACAGGGTGCCAACTGACAAATGAATGGACAAAACAAAATGCCTATACAATAAAACTGGATAACCAAGAATACCAGAATTACATAATCTAAAAGTAGAGTTTCAAAAATACCTACTCTAGATCACAAACAAACAGTACTTAGACTTAAAATGAAAATAGAAAACATACCCTACAGGTTACTAACACTTGACTAGCTCCGAGATACAAAAAGGACACATCGTAAAATCATAAACCACAATAAATAATTCATATGCATGTATTATTCCCTGGCCCACAAGGATAGCCTAGCTAAAAGCAACTTTTAAAATCCTATTGTTTTTACAATCAATTCACACATATATAGTGCACTACCATGGCACTAACATATTTTTTAAATTGCAATGACAAAAAGGAAACTGATTCCATACATCTTCAAAACTAATTTGTTTATCTGCAACCCAACCAAAGACCAAGACTCCAATAAGGAATTATTTCTCAGCTGAAATTACAGCCAACTTGGTAAATCCAAAAGAACAAGTAAGACAACAATTAAATCTATGACACTAGAATTAATCTTTGTTCATACTATGCAAAATATTATATAATTAAAATCTAGAAGTTTTTCGTGTTTCTAATATTTCTAATATATTTTTATGGCTAGAAATATTTCTGTACATTTAAGTTCCTTAAACAATTGTCCAGTAAGTATCCATAAAGTCAGCAGTCCTGATAGCTTCCCTATTAGTAATTTAAAAATCACTAAGTTTTAGCTGAGAGAAAAATGTCAAATAAAATATATCCTTCTATACTAATCTCAGCTGACATAAACTCTTTTCTTTCTTTTTCTTTAAGATTTATTTATTTTTATTGCAAAGTCAGATATCTACAGAGAGGAAGATCTCCCATCCACTGATTCACTCCCCAAGCTGCTGCAACAGCCAGAGCTGAGCCAATCCAAAGCAAGGAGCCCAAAGCCACTTCCAGGTCTCCCACACAGGTGCAGGGTCCCAAGGCTTTTGGCCATCCTTGACTCCTTTCCCAGGCCACAAGCTGGGAGCTGGATGGGAAGTAGGGCCATGAGGGTTAAAAGTGGTGCCAATTCGAGATTCTGGTGCATTCAAGGTGAGGACTTTAGCCACTTGGTTATTGCGATGGGCGTGACAATCACTATTTCTAAAAAACGTTCTATTAAACATGAACCACTGCAATACTGAAGACATCAACTATACAGACATGTTGAATGGATCACACATTTTAAATAGTCAAGCCTTTAAAAAGAGGCAAAATGGGCTATACACTTTCACCAGCAGATGATTTAAGTTCCTTAGTTGATTTCTATCTTGTCCTTGTTCACTAACATCTGAGAACTAAATATTTTAGAAGTAAAATGTGTTATGGCACAAGATTGATTGATTCATTCTCTCATAGGTGATTGTTTCTAAAGAACAAAAACAAAACTTGTTCTAGTCTAGAAAAAAGAAATCACTGAAAATGGACATTTCAGATGCCACAACAACACAGGAAACTTGACCACCATGAGAACTAAAATAAACAGAAAATGCCGCAAAAAACTGGCAATTCTCTATATTATATATTCTAATCTAACATTTGAGAAAGGTATACTACTTAATATTTTAAGATTTATTGTTAACATTGCAGCTAATTGAAGACAAAAATGTAAAGGATTTCATTTTAATGTTTACTATCACAATATGAAGCATATTTTAAATATTATGTCTATTACAAATTTATTAAACCTTTCAATGTTACAATATAGAAAAACAGAACTATCAATAGAAATATAAACATACTTTATTAGAAAAAAGGCATCTTTTTTCTTATAATTTAAGATAAAAACCTAAGTCACTTTGAGT